TGAATATACTGTGTTTTTCTTACCACATACATAACACTCAATAATAATAAGCATGTCAGTAATTTTAATGAAAAAAGTCATACTTCTATCCTCAACATCCTAACTGGGGAAACTTTGTGACAAAGGGATTTTTTTAGCGAAGTTTCTACCTTTCAAAATGTCAACACAACTGTAACTAGCAGTCTTTCCATAATATTTATTTTTCACGTGATTTAATTTTCAGGTATACAAACATACTTATCAATACAGCTAATGGCACAAATACTGAAATTAATATACTTAAAAGTAGATTATCTGATCTGTTAATTACAATCTATCATCTGACTATTCAAACAAGGAAACAAATCTTTTCTCTCAGATGCTTTTGATCTACAAGCATACATTTACAAAATGAAAGGATTTAAACATATATCTGGATAAGCCAAGTAAAAATTGGTCATCAGGAGAAAATAAATTTTGACCTCTTTAAAATCTACCATATTTAAAGTAAAATGGAAGGTAAATAATGTTTATATTACACAATCTAAGAATTCTGCATTCTTTATATTAAATTAAATACAAAAACTATATGACTGAAATAACTATATATGCAATTTTAAAGTGTATTGACACTAATTTTAAGAAATAGTTATCTTTCACAACAACAAAATTTCTAATTAAATTATTCAAATCGATAAAATCACTTGTCTTGGACATTTCTGCCTTATTTTCAAAAATCATCAGAACTATGGAATTTCGTGTCCTTTGTTTGTTTTACTTCATTTGAGCTACCTAGTTGAAGAGTTAATGGATGATGAAATGGCCAAAGGGTAGAAGGCAAATACAAGGAAAAGACAAAGATATAGATTTTTTGCTTTATGGAAGAGACATCCTGCACTCAATCTAAGCAAAACAATTGATCTCTCTTAAGTGTCAAATTTATTAATTAGGGGAAAAGTCTTTCCAAATAAGATAATGCAGTATTATAAAAGATATTTTACATAAATTCATTTTTATTTTCTTCTAATTAAAAAGTTAGAGAAAAATAAAGAATTAAATAACATTTAAGAGAAATACAGACCTTAGATTTAACCATCCTCTAGGGGAGAATGTTTAGACACTGTTTGAAAGGATAATTTGAAGATACTAAAAATTATGGAAAAGAAAAAAGTAGTCAAAGATAGAAAATTGAAAAGAATATGTACCTTAGAGAAGACAAGCCAATAGGTTAATAGTTCATTACTCACAGATAAAATTATATCGATTATTGACATAATTTCTCTGTACATTGCTTAAAAAGAGAAAATGGGAAATGTTAATTATTTGAAAACTTTAATTTATTCATTAGAAGGAATATCAGTATCTACCACAATGAAAGCACACAATAAATAAGTTTTAGTTTTCTTATGCATGAAGAAAGAAATTCCTAATAACACTGCATTTTGTTACAGCTGAGAGGTAAAATCTAATACAGTTGTTGGAGGACAGAGCATTAAGCACTGATACTTCAGGTATTTATTCATGGCATTGTCCAATTATACAATTACTGGGATTATACCTTGAAGACATGCTTATCAAACTTGCAGATGTAAAATCATCTGAATGTAAAAGACAGGGTATCCCAATGATCTTTGCAAAGAAGAGGACAAATTAAGACTGGAATGAGGGCCTGGGATTTTGCTCAGTGGTTCTACCACCTCCCTTTCAAGTGCAAGGTCTTGAGTTTGATCCTTGGTATTTAAAGAAAAAAAAAGACTTAAATGATGTGGAAGAGAAATATAGAACTTAAATTTGATTTTGAATATCAATTACATATAAAATACTATAGTATGAAAAATTTTTCTTAATATGCAATTAATAAAATGCAGACTTACTGAAAATTATTGTTCATGAGCCATTAATTTAGAAGCATCATAAAATGAAACAGAAAAAAAACATCAAAAGTATTGTAATATACAGCAGCTTAAAGAAGTTTCAAAGACATTGGTAAAAATCCAGTTATGCTCCTCTCATTAGACAATATCTGAAATTCTCTGTCCATTTTGAGTATCCCATTTAGAAAGCATTCTTGATATTCCAGATGGATCTAAGGAAGAATGAACAAAACCACATGATAACTACAAATCATGTTGAGAAAAATGAAGTCAGAAAGGTTTTTATATCACGGAGAAAAACACTGGAAACCATACACCATGTGTCAAGTATAAGTGAATTCATACTCTGGGGTATAATGCAGGAGCAAAAACAATGAAATTTAATTATAATTGCAATAGAATTTAAAAAGGAAGGTTCTGTCCATTCATTAACCAAAGAGTTTTCTAAAATTCAGACTTTTGCAATAATGAAATTGTCAATTTTGTGAGGTAGCATTTACCTTTAAATGAATATAGACAATGAGAAATTGCTTGGGATATTGAGGTAGAGATTTTCAATTTCAGTAGCAGATAAAATTGGAAATAGTTTAGTTTCCATTCAAGTCTCTACTCTATTAAATCTTAGGGAGGAATTTGTAGTAATGTTTTTCCTATGAAGAATTCAATGCTTACACTGAATTTCAAAAATACTAAATACAGGCTTTTGCCGTTATAATCCACTGATCTATACATAAATAATTATTGATCAATTTATTTAGCTATGTAAACAATTATTACATATTTACAATCTAGGTCATTGTTTCAAATTTAATATATGTGGTTATTTGTGACATTCTTCCTATTTAAATTGAGAGTAAATATTTCGTTTTGTTTGGCTATCTTACTAATAAGTTTTATGAAAAACAATACAAGGCAGATGGTAGCCTTTTGAAATTACTTTTGAGATTTTCTTAGTAGCAATACATAAAGTAGAAATATACTAATATATGCTTCATTTGTAAAGGTTTGCTAACTTGACCCTAAAATCTTCACAGTCCATTCCATTAATAAGCTCGAACTGTTTATTTATAATTTATTTATACTTTTAATTTTTATTCAAAAAGTTATGAAAGAAATACTACACTTAAATCATGTAGATTCACCACATTCTCTTTTCATTTCTTTTATCTAAAAATTATTTATGTTTGTTAGAGTTCCAACATGAGATATTTTGTACAGTAGATAGAATATAGCCTTGTAAAGTTAGATTCAAAAAGTCCCCCTTTGCTAAAAGTCACTTAAATTTTTGGTATCAGTTTTCTTTTCTTCAATGGGTACACTGTTCACATCACAGGACTTTGTTTAAAGAGAATGATGAAAATCTAGTCCATGATGATCATCATGCAACAGATCTCCAATGCAAGTATCATAATTTATCTCCTTTTAATTTATGCTGCTTTTAGTTATCTTATTGACAGAGAATAATTATTTACCTTTAAAAATTGTTTTGTTTGGGGTATATTAAAGGTGGAAACAATGAGCTCAAATCATTAACCATTGGGAACAATGGCAAATATCAAAATATTTTAAATGCTTATAATATACTATTGTGAATTGTATGAAGTCATGGTTCTAACAGATTTTGGTTTTTAATAAAAATTTTAAAATGAAATTTAAATTTTATATGTTATGCTTCATTTGAAGACATCATTGCAATTGATTCAATATGATTCATAGATATTTTGCTTTCTCTAAATTTTATCTGGGTAACTTAACTCACATGGACTAATTGGTTTCTTCTAATTATGTGTGCCACGTATATTCACCTCTCTGAGAAACTTTGACAGTTTTCTGTAATTTCTAGTAAAGCCAATAGATAAAAGATTGATTAAAATTATAACACTATTTTAAGATATTACTGAAATGTGCATTGATACTAGAATTTAAGATACATCATTCAAAAACTATATATCTTTAGATATGGCATTGAAATATCTAACATTAGACAGGTATTTTCTTTTTTTTCCCATCATCACCCCATTCTTTTAATTTTGTGAAACTTTAAAAATACAGAAAAGTACAAAAAATAAGACAAGATATCCATATACCACAATGCAGAATTAATATCTTCATATATTTACTTGCAGTTTTTAAGAGAAATTGATATTTATATAAAAAGATTAAGCCCCTTCCCACTCCACCACCCCGCTCATTCCCTTCCCTTCTCCACTCTTCACAGGCCAATATCAAGAGTTTGGTCTGTATCCTTCCAATTGATTTTAAAAACATTTACATATGTATGTATATGCATTAGCAATATAAAGTATTAAACTTCATTAACTTTCATGAACTTTTATAACTCAAATTTACACAAACCCATTGTACTATATACATCATTCTGTAACTTTTTTCCTTCACAACATTTTTTAGATATTTCCATTAACATGTGGCTCTAATCTGTTGCATTTTTATAGATGAGTAGTATTCTATCATAAGAACTTTCCATTTTGTTCCAGATGGAGAATTAAATTGTTTCCATTACCTGGCTGCTACATATTTCCTGAGCATACATACAAGTAAAACTAATATGTATTCTTGAATTTCTTATAAGGAATCTTTTCCTACACCCAAGGTCATAACCACTTTTAGTATACTGGCTTTTTATATTTCTTTCTTCAATCCCTGTGGGTTTTAGTATCCTATGTAATCCATGGTCCATTCTCCACACTTGGAGAACAAATTACCTCCAAATAATTTTTTGAAAGTCTTGTTATTTCTTCATCTCCTAATGCCATCTCTTTCATATTCCAAATTCAAATAAATGTATAGGTCTCTTTCTGGAATCTTCTGCTCTGCTGAATCACTGTCACAAAGACTTATTTGTAAATGATCATGTGTTTTTGCTTCTTCCTAATACTTATACCTTATTTTCTTATATTGGTGAAGATGTCCAGACTTATACCAAGGGAAGTAAGAAGATTCTATTTTCTGTACCCAATTTTAGGGAAATGCATTTAAAGTTAATATTACCTCTGCTATAGTTTTCTGGGTCAGGCAGTCTTTTCATCATACAAATGTCTTTTTCTTCAGTATGAACTAGTTGGTGTCCTGTAAGTTTTAGTATTTGTTAAAGTTCACCTTGCCTGCAGTGCTTTGCTTCAAAATATTTCAGAAGTGCTGTGAGATACAAATTCCTGGGGCACGTTTCCCATTTTGAAGATATTCACATGTTTTTAAATGAGTGTGAATTTTCTGGTGTCTAATGTGGTGTGATTTCTGACTGAAAGCTTTGCCACATTCACTACATTGATAAGGCTTCTTACCTGTGTGATTCTCAAATGCAGGGCTAGGGTGAGAGAGCTTTCCCACATTCGTTACAACCATAGGGCTTCTCACCTGTATGGCTTCTCACGTGCACAGTAAGAGATGAACTCTGAGAGAAGGCTTTTCCACATTCATTACATTCATAGGGTTTCTCTCCAGTGTGAATGTTTTGATGCTTTATGAGGTACTTCTTTTGGCCAAAAGCTGTTCCACATTCATTGCATTTAAAGGGTTTCTCTCCAATATGAATTTTCTCATGCTCAGTAAAATTTGATTTGCCACTAAAGGTTTTCCCACACTGCTTACATATGAAGGGCTTCTCTCCTGTATGAGTTCTCTGCTGTCTGATGAGGTTTGACTTCTGAATGAAAGCTTTCTCACAATCTTTGCATTCGAAAGGTATCTCTCCAGTGTGAATTTTCTGATGGGTAAGGAGGTGTTCTTTCTGGCTAAAGGATTTTCCACAATCATTATATTCAAAAAGCTTCTCTCCAGTATGGGTGTTCTGATGTTTAATGGCATATTGCTTTTGGCTAAAGGCTTTCACACATTCATTACATTCAGAAGGTTTCTCTCTAGTATGAAATAGCTCATGCTCAGTGAGATTGGGTTTGTGGCTGAAGATTTTCCCACATACCTTACAGGCAAAGGGGTTTCCCCCAATACAATTTCTCTGCTGGCTGAGGTGTGATATCGGAATGGAAGCTTTCCCACATTCACAAGATTTCTCTCCAGTATGAATTTTTTGATGAATGAGGATTTACTTTTGGCTGAAGATATTTCCACATTTCTTACATTTATAAGGCTTCTCAGTGTATGACCTCTCAAATGTAGAACAAGGGATAGTTTGAGAGACAATTTTATCACACGTAGCACAAAGCTATCTCTCCAGTATAAAATCCTAATATTCAATGAGGTTATCCCATATTCACTGGTTTCTCTCCTGTATGAATTTTCTGTTGCTCAATGAGATCTGTCATCTAGCTAATGGCTTTTTAATATTCCTTAGAAGCACAGGGTGTCTCTTCAGCATGACTTCTTGGTTCAATGAGACAATGCAGGTGTATAAATGTTTGCCCACATTCAATAAATTCATAGTTTTCTCCAGTGAGGAATACTCTGCTATCAGACAGGGTACAATAGCATTTCCACACTGATTTACAAGAGGCTATTACCACAAGGAGTTAGCTCTGGTAGAGGATTTTCAAATTAGTAAAATAGATGATTCTTTTCTACACAGCTTTCCTCATAATTAAGCCTAAATTGTTTTTTGAAGGGAAAATTTCAAAAATGTGTCCCCTGAGAAAAATAATGTCTATGAGAAAAGGAAAGATTTTTCTAATTTTCTTATGTTCACTGTTTTTTCCCCAGTTAGTATTTATTGGAGATGGATACAATTTGCCTCCAAAGTCTTGATGTTTCTCATCTGCTCATTATCTTCTCAGATTTATTATAGACAGATGCTTTCTCCACCATCCAGTTTTTCTTCTTCAATGGAAGATCATATCCAGTTTGGTCTCTTTAAAACCTGCTAGTGGGGAAAATGACACGGCACTAGACTGTTACTGCTGTGACCAAAATACCATTCGAGAATTCAGGATGAGCCCTGGGGCCCCTGAACCTTCTGAAGGATGAGGAAGGTGCACTTTTCAGAGATGTGCAAGGAAGTGGCCCTCCTACTTTCATGCCACATGGACCAAGAAAAGACAGGTATTTTCTTAGAGCAAAATAATATGGCGAGATCTCCCCTCCATTTTTCTTCTCTCAGGTAACTTTGATATGCTGATTTATTTTGATTTATTTTCTGAATGTTTTCATTTTCAGATCCATAATTGTTTACTCTGTTGTTAGGAAGTCAAATATGTGTAACCAGGGTGTAATATTGGAAAAATTATGACATACGTGTCAAAATAATAGAGAACATTAACCTCACTTTCCTACAAGAGGAAAATTATTTTACAGTAAAACATTATGAAGATAATTATGCCAATTAGGTATCCTTAACACATTACATCATAAAACAGAATGTCTAGTATAAATATAACATATATTTTAACTAGACAGTTTTTGGAACTTGCAAGACAAGCAAAGGTTGCATTTCAGTTCATTGGATTAATTTTAAATATATTTCTGTTGAAAAATTATTTCCACAAAGATTATTTTTACAAGGTTTGAGTAAATTTTTGAAATTTTTGAAAATGCATTGTGTGGATTTTTATTCTTTATTATATAGCAGTTAAGTATTAAACTTTAATTCTTGTACTTCATCTTATTTTGGTATATCTCTTTGATATAATCAATGAGGTTATCAATGAGGGTTTTTGATTAGAAATGAAAATTCTAGGTACTTGAAAAGTAGATGAAATTTCATATCAATTAATAGGCATACATTGTAAATTGATCGATAAATTTTTGGGAAGAGAAGCATAAAAAAATGAGTGGTAAAGTCGGGATGCAAAAAGTGAGACTAATTAGGTATAACTAAGGCTGGATCCTTCTGTCATGATCTGGGCAAGATGCTGCCTGGCGCTCTCAAGCATGAATCTGAAGGAGAAACTAGGAGTAAAATATCCTAAAGCAAAAAGATAAATAATAATCTAAGTTAAGGCTTGACTCTTCATTGTGACAAATAAGTTCACTGAATTTATTTGTTTATGTTTAAACAGGGAAATGCTTTTGCAAGTTTTACATTGTAGGAAGGCCATTCTCTCTACACATCTAGGTAGAGCAGATGGTGATGAAGGTAGGAAGCTGGGTCCATAATCTTGATTAGGGATAATGATAATGATTTAAAAACAAGACAAAACTAGATTTGGTACCGTAACATAGAAAGAGGAAAGATACTTACCTTGACGATAGCATTTGCATTGGTTATTGAGTGAGAGAAAGAAAAGGAGGCAAAATAAATTGTTTCAGAGTCAGAGCCCAATCCTTTTGAGTTCCCTTGCCTACAAGATATCTAAGATTATACGCAAAATAAGGGGCTAGCATTTTGAGTCCACTAAATTTCAGAAAAGATGACTGAATAAGTTCTAGTATTTCATTGTTTATTTTCTTTTTAGTTAATCTACCTATTTGTGACAGTGGGGTATTGGGATATGACACTACATAAAAACTAAGTGAAACCAATGTTTACCTAGAAATTAATAGAGTTAATTTGACTAAAAATAGAGAGAATGTTTAATTTTTTTTAAATTACTACAGTAAAGTCACACATTGTGACACATGGCTATAATTCTAGCACTGGAGAACCTGAGGCAGGAGGATCACTGCTCTTTTGAAGCCAGCTGTTCTTCATAGAGAGTTCAAGGCCGGTCTGAACTACCTTAAGATACACATTGACTTTAATCCCCTTTTAAAAAGTTCCTCTTGGTTTGAATGCACTTATCCCATTATTCTTGCCCTTTTCTGAAGGAGTTCTGGAAGTCTTATTTCATGAGTGTTACTTGTGCTGTTGTGGTTGACTGAATATCCTGAACCAATTCAAATTGTTTACCTTTTGTGTTCATTTTGACTTTGGGAAAGAGCTAGAATTTACGTAGTGCCACATCCAGTCAATAAGGTGGATGAAGATACATGATACTGTTTTGATGAGTCTGTCTTTCCATTTGTTGGCATTCACAAGCCACATTCACCATATTTTTTATCACATCTTGCGCAGAAGAGAAGACTTTCAGAACTGCTTTGGAAAATGACAAAACTATTTTCAAAGTAAGGTGAGTAAATTGAGAGAATTAATGGCAATGTGCCTTTTACTGTAACATTTTTAATTTAAATATTAACTGTAATTTTCAATCATAATTCATATTAGGCTCTTTTTCTCTCTTTGTTTTTCTAATATATGGTCATTCTCATGTTTTTCTTTTCTCTCATGAATTTTAAACTTTCCCTACTCATTTTATAAGATTTTTGTATATTAGTGTATTAAATATATCATATCTAACCATTTCTTACTGTTTTACTTGTGCTTTGCCTTTGCTGCTTTATTTTCCATGATTGTCAAAAACAGTTAAATCTGTCAACCACACAGTATATCCAGTCCCCAAACTGTGGTGGACTTTTGCCTAATTTCTAATATCTTTATTTCATGCTTAAAAGGATCCTGCTTTATGTAAGTCCACCTATACATTTAAATCTTTATGAGAGATAAAAGTTTGTCTCTTTTCTTATCACAACAATAAAAATCTTTTCAGCAGCATACTAAGTGAAATGTGCTGCCTAGCAACACTTTTCCATTTATACCCTGTGTTGCTTAGCAGCACACTTTCAATAAGGTGCCACCTTGAATTGGGATAATACCAGTCTTCTCTGCTTGAATTGGTATAATACTAGTTTTCTTTGAGTTGAAAAATTTACTGTTATCTGGCTTCAACTTCATTCCATGGTTACACTATAGATTTGGATAGTGTAGAAAACCAATATTCCTAGTTTTCTTTGGGTCCCATATTTGAAAGATTGTTTTCACAAGTTGTCAAAATTCTCTTTGTATTCAATGGGTTTGATGGTGAGATTTTGAATAAAGAAGCTAATATCTCTCAAAGAAATTGATACTTTGTTGATGCATCAACATTATTAGAAATAGGATATATGCTGATAATTCAGATGTAAATAAAAACTTTTCCATTAATTTTTCTTACTATATCTACTTTTTCATGATGCACAGTTTTTTAAAAAAATTAGCTACAATGACAAATTACATCCATTAATAATGCATTATTTGGCAAGATAGGAAAGAACCAATCATTAATATCATTTCATCAGTTTGCCTTTGTTATACTCTGTCAAGTTTTAATATGTTTATAGCATTGTCTTGCCCTCATTAACACTGGAAATGTTTCCAAAAACATCAAGACTTTTTACTATATAGGTGGAGTTATTATTTCCTAAAAATCCAGAAATGCCCTTTTATTATGTCAACCTAAATAAGAAACTAGTACAAAGTAGAATACAGGATATTAAGGGCAATAAATGTTCTCTGAAAGAAAATAAAAACCCAAGATAAGTGACTTGCAGATTGCATGAGTTAATTCCATTGATTATTTATTTCTTTAAAGCAAATCTCAAATGAGATTACAAAATTTAAAAAATATTAAAATGGACAAAATTCATGAAGATTTTTTAGGGAAAAAAAGCTTTTTTAAAAAAAGATTAAGTCCCAATTATATGAAGGAAATAAAGGAATGTAATTCATGTAAAAGAGAGTAAAATAGCCAGCAGGAGGGACTAGGAGTGATTCTTTGTATAATGCTTCAGTTTGCAAAGATTAAAAGCTAATGGAGATAGATGATGACAATACTTGGATAAAGTAATGCATGTAACAAATATCTCTAAAGTGCACACCTCAAAATTGTTAAAATTGTAAATTTTGTGTATTTTGTGCTAATATAAAACATTTTAAAAAGTTAACTACTTCCAAAATTACTATGTATGATTAAACCAAATTAAAGATCAGGAAATGTGAACAGAAATTAATAATAATTTAAAAATATATTCATAATATTGAGATCTTTCCATGTGACAGGCACTACTTTTCTAAGAAATTTTTGTGTACTTTTGTTTCACTTTATCTGTACAAACATAGGAATTACAATCACTGTTAGGCTCATTTGTTCAGGTTAACCAGTAAAGGCCACATTAATAGCAGTCATTTACCCCAAACTGACAGAGCCCAGAAAGTACCTATATAACTCATAAGCCAAAACACTGTGATATCCTGTTCACAGGAGC